TGCAAATTAATTGATTTCATCATACTACTACGTACACAAACAAAAAAAATGTTCTTCTTCCTCCAATTCCACCGAACTGTTCTCTTCCGCCATCGATCAAAGGGCGGTTTCCACGGTGAGAATCGGCCCACACTCACCACCTAGGTCACGTAACGCAGTTTTCTCCGCCGCCCTCGCGTTCTTGTCATTCACAAGCTTCCTGAGAATAGTGGATGAATCCGTGGGAGAAAATGGTACTCGTTGAAGCAAACACAGCCACCATCGCTCTAACAAGAGCCATGGGACTCCCACTTGATCCATCTGCATCAGCTCCCGAACAAGAATCTCTCTGTTTCGAATCGATAAGCATCAATTTTGACTCATGAACTTCTTCTTCTTGTTGTTGGGTTCCTAATTTAAGAGCTAGGTGGTGATGCTTCTCCACCTTGGGTTCAGGTAATGGAGGTGTGGGAACGAAAGGTCGATTCGTGATTCGTGAAAGAAGAGATGAGTCGGAGAGAGAGATCGAGAGACGGGAAAATGTTAAGGATTTAACGCCTAAATCCTGTCCCAAACTATTGGTTCGATTCACATATATGAAAACACACAAAGCAATTGAAACAACGAACACCACAAATGTTCACCCTGAGTTCACCGAAGCTATGTCTCAGGGATGGAGACTCTCCTCCACAACTGCATCCACTATGAAGATCGGAAAATATCTCCGATGTGGTTTACACAAGAAGATCATTCACTCTCTCTATCTCCGGTTAAACAATCCGAGAGAGTACAAGGAGAAACAAGGAAGAAGAAAGAGTATGAGCAAAGCTTAGATACAGAGAAAACACCATCTCTCTTTCTCTAGCTCTATCTTGCTCTACGAGCCGCCGTGGAGGCGCTCGGAATCCTCCGGAATCAGGATTAGGTTTTCCTTGTGCCACACTCTTGTATTTATAGCTAGYAACCCTAGAAGCCTTATGTGATGGGCCATACCACAGCTTGAGCCCAACATGATGTCAAGGCTAGTAGTAAGCCCATTTGCTGGTCCAAGTCGTGAGTGACTGAAGTCCAACTTCTCACAATCTCCACCTTTGGATTCAGACAGCTCTCGCACCTCCGCAATTCATGCTTCTTTTTTCCTTCTTCCCGATCGCTTCTTCTGGGATCTCCACCTTTAGCCCAGCTTGAAACCTCCTTGAGAGTTGCCCTTTAGAATCTTTGAGTCCAGGTTCTGACTTGGCACTTTTATCTTCACGTAAACCTGCATTAGTTTGAATTTAAACAAACCAATCACCTTAGTAGTTTAATCACCATAAATCTACTAAACCATCAATGAACTAGATGACTCGTTGATGAACTCCATATGTGAGAAACACACTGCTTTTATGAGTTATCATCACTCCCATGTCTCATCTTGAATTATAAATCTAGCTGCTACACTTATAGTGTCAAGCTCAACTCATCATTGATTCCTCGGTTCCTTCATAGCCATATTTGCCTGAAATTATATGTCCAGCAAACAACCATTAACGAGCACCAAAGCTTGTTACACCAACGTGAAACTTCACAAGCTTAATTACTTCTGAATTTATCAACCACACATCTTCCTCCATGGTCACTGTAACATCCATGAATCTGTTTTAGTGATAAAATCTTCTTTCTTTCTGCGACTTGATTCTCTTACTGAACTTTTAAATCCACTCATGCGCATTGAGTCTTTGAATCAAAGTCTTTGAATTTTGTGCAGCTAACTTTGAATCATACATGCTTCAAGCTTGAAACACTCCCTGATTCAACACTGACTCTGTTTAAACACCTCAGTCTTGAACTCCTCTTGTACCGCTGTTACTTCTAACAGAACACGCCATCCAACTATCAACACTGCTGGAGAGACTTTCGACACAACCTTAGTCCAAAAAACCACGTTTTACAGAACCTCGCTGACAAACAAAATTCCTCTAGAATCAACTACAGAAACCTCTTAGTAACTCCTGCTTCATTTCCCTGCAAAAGTCTTTGACTTATACAACATCAGTTTCAACGTTTGAACATACTGAATATGAACATCCTTTTGAACATCACTTTGCATCGCTACTATTTCCAGCAGAACATGCCGCCTAACTCCACCCGGCTAGGAAGACTTTCGACACAAATTTCTTTGATCAATCCTTGTTCGAACTACTCTGCATCAGCCTAACTGTCACACCAACAGATTTGACCACTGCTAGTTCCTTCTGACCTTGTCTCATACTCACAAACACGTGACCTGTTTGAGACACCCATTTACAGCCTTTAGCACTTCACTCTAGATCCCTTGAAGTCATTCTCTGGCTGTAAACACTACACTGCAAAACTCCTTCATGTATGCAGCATTTACCAAAAAACTTTGGTACCAACATCATTGTTCTTTCTGAATTAAATTAAATCAGAATTTCTCACCTTTCATCAGTGTTACTTTGACATGTCTTTACCACTGACGAATCTTAACTTTGCTTCTCAGCAAATGGCGTCCCCGAGAAATAACTCCAATGATGAGACAAGACACACTAGTTAGCTCCTAGTCTATGTCTTCAAGATGTCTTTAAGACTTCTCCAGAAACAGCCCATATGATATCTACTCTAGAACATCTGATATCACCTTTCGCTGTTACACCATCCTCTAATACATTTCCGTGTATGAGGAACACACCAGATTTGGTGTCTGCATCACCACATTTCTCTATATCAAATCAGACTTGCTTCTGATTCATCAACATCCTTCAATACCCTTACATGGATGCTTGTAAACCCTCACATGAGTATCCTGTAGAAAAGAAATGTTCCCCAAAGGAAATTTCGTCCATTCTCTTCATGTGATGCAGAAAAGACACAAGTCTATCTTGTACTTGATTTCCTTCTAATGCAGTTTGATACCTCTGCATTCAGATCCCATAATGGATGTATTTCAGCTGCTTACCAACTTTGAGATGACCTGATTTCCTTATCCTCCAGGCGTAACAACATTGAACTCTCCCTTGCATCGATGCTCTTGAGACACTGTATGCATAACCGCAACTAGTCTCTTTCAATTTCTCTTTTAAGAGACCACTGAACCGCTTCAATGTGTCTTCCATCTCAAAACTCATACTCCTGTGAGATATTTGCAACTGACCATCAGATGTCCCATCCATCATCAAGCATTTCATCAAACCTGAGTAACTTACTCTTTCACTTCTGATGAAAAACCAACATGTGCTTGATCTTGCTGACACCTAAACTGATCTTGGCTTTTCATGTCTTCTTCACATACTAATTTGATCATGAGTCGTATCCCAACAATGAGTTTATTCATACTTAACTCATCTCCTTAAGAGCTAAAAAAAAATCCTCCTCGTAATACTTAGGATCTGTTATGGTCCGCAAAACCCTTTGAATTCATTGCTCCACTTGAAACATGGACTTGAATTTTTCTTAACTCCAAGTGTTTCTCAAGCTTAGCTCCACCTTTCGAGTTAAAACCTTTTCTTCATTGTTTCTCTTTGATCAACCCATTAGTTGTACAGTATCATTGCTAGTCATGGCATCCTGCTTGAAATGCATGTCAAGCCTTATGACAAAATGATTCACAAGATTGCCGCCACTTAAACTAGCCCTTTTATACCAGAAGAACCCACCAAGAACCTTGCTTCTTCTGAAGCTACCCAATCTGATCTTGTGCTGCCACCAAATTGAACATTAAAACACATAGACTTAGATTAGA